CCCTTTCAAACTCTCCCAAACTCAATGAAGTTATGTTTTAAAAGGAACCAACTTAACCAGACTTTCTTTCATTACCAAGGAGAGTTCAGTAATTATTAAATGTAAGAAGAAATAGGAACGCTAACACACAAAGTGGAAATGAGATAAATCCAAAAAAACAATCAGTCTGAAGTGCTCGTGAAGAACACATAAGATGATGTTACAGTTGTTATTACACAGCACCAATAACAATGATTTTGGCAGTTAATTTTGATATTCTCGGTTTGGAGTCATAGAGATGTACAGCACAGAAACAGTCCCTTTGGTCCAACTTGTCCATGCCGACCAGATATCTTAATCTATTCCCATTTGCCAGCATTTGACCCATATCCCTCTAAACCCTCCATTCATGTGACCATCCGGATGCCTTTTAAATGTTGTAATTGTACCAGCCTCCACCACTTCCTCTGGCCGCTCATTCCATACACGCACCACCCTCTGCATGAAAAAGTTGCCCCTTACATCCCTTTTGAATCTTTCCCCTCTCACCTCAAACCTATGCCGTCTAGTTTTGGACTCCCCTACCCTGGGGAAAAGACCTTGACTGTTCACACAATCCATGCCTCTCACGATTTTATAAACTTCTGTAAGGTCACCCCTCAACATCCGACGCTCCAGGGAAAACAGCCCCAACCTATTCGGCCTCTCCCTTAAGCTCGAGCCCTCTAACCCTGGCAACATCCTTGTAAATCTTTTCTGAGTTCTTTCAAGTTTCACAACATCGTTCCTATAGCTGGGAGACCAGAATTCCCAGAAAAACCGGAACAGGTTTTGCAGGTTGGCCGAAATTCTGTTCTGATTCCTTTCAACAGCGCTGAATTCCAGCATTGAAATCGATAGCCTTTCTCTCTATTTTACCTGCAGTGCAAGGGTGTTTAAAATGGGTGCTCTTAAATCTGTCTCCCTCGCAGCACTCCAGCTTACACACCAAGACAATCAGCCAATAACACACACAGTCCAGTGGTAGAGTGAGCTTTTAAGCTCCCTTTTTCTGTATGTTCTTGGAGGAACATGTCTGCCTTAGGTGACTTTTTTTTGAAAGGAAGGATAGTCAACATCCTCAATATCTGTTCTTGTTAAGCTTCTCCCGGTTTGAAGTTTCTCTTATATTTTACAGGTACAACATTCCATGGGCGCACACTCGGAATTTTGCCAGATAGTCACTGAATTTACATCCGCAGCGTCTTTTCTCCTGTAGCAATCCTCTTTGAAAACACATAAACATTTTGGAATTAAAAAGAAGAAGTCTATAAAAACTCTGGGGATCTGATCCACTGTCATAATATTCGTGATCTGCCATCATCGCCCTCTTCCGCTGCCATATTATTTTAATGAGATTCCCATTGCTGGAAGACCCAAGGGAAATAAGTATAGACAGGGTTCTCACTATGGTGATGGGCTGGGGATGGATGCTGAGTGAAGGTGGGATTGGGATACACTGTAAAGAGCACCCCAACCTCCCCAAGCAGGTGGGATATACACCTCCGAAGTTCAGGCATAATAAATGGCCGCTTGTAATGGGCACAGTAGAATTACTGGAAACCAGTGTAGGCAAGGGAGTGTGAGGAAACTCACTTAAAGCAAAATATCTGCAGCACAGCGAGAACTACAAACAGCAAACTAATGTGAAAAACCCCAGCAACAATTGTTAACTTGGGGAGCACACTCTCAGTTAGCCATTTCAGAATAAGATGAGAAGTACTGAGTCTGGTTGTGGTCGCCCTGTGAAAGGAAGGCTGTTATGAAACTGGACAGGATTCAGAAACGGTTTACCATGATGTTGCTGGGACTCGAGGGTTTAAGTTATAAAGAAAGGCTGGATAGCTGGGACTTTTTTCACTGGAGGTTGAGGATTGACCTTATAGAACATAGAACTATACTGTACAGCAACAGGCCCTTCAGCCCACAATGTTGCGCTGAACATGATGCTAAATTAAACTAATCTCTTCTGTCTGCCCTTGGTCCATGTCCCTCCATTCCTTGCACATTCACGTGCTTATCTGAAAGTCCCTTATAGAGGTTTATAAAATCATGACGGGAATAGATAAGGTGAACATCAAGTGTCTTTTCTCTAGGGTGAGAGTGTTTAAAAGTAGGGGGCATATTTTCAAGGTGAGGAGAAAGAACATGAGGAGCAACTTTTTTTTAAACAGAGAGAGGTTCATTTGTGGAATGAACTGCCAGAGGAAGTGGTGGATGCAGGTACAGTTACAACATTTAAAAGACATTTGAATAAGTTCATGAATAGGAAAGGTTTGGAGCAATATGGGCCAAGCGCTGGCAATGGGACTAGTTTAGTCTGGGATTATGACTCACGTGGACTGGTTAGACCGAAGGGTCTGTTTCCGTGCTGTATGACTCTATAAACGTCTTCGCTCAACAGGGTAGTGTGTTTTTGGAATTCTCTACTTCAAAGGGCTGTGGAATCTCAGTTGTTGAGTACATTCAAGTCAGAGTCAATGTATTTTTTAATTACTAAGCAAAGCAAGGGCGTTAGAGATAGCACAGTTCGGAGCTGGAGGAACACAGCAGGTCAGGCAGCATCAGAGGAGCAGGAAAGTTGACGTTTTGGGTCAGGATCCTACTGACTGCAGCATCTGCAGTTCTTGCTATCTCTCAAGGGCTGAAGAGATTAGGCAGGAATGCAGAGTTGCTGTAGAAACTCAGACAGTATCTTACTGAATGGCAGGACCCAGGTTTCTGATATATATGACAAAACCCAAACTGCTGTCAGCAGGGGATACTTAAATACTAGCCCTGCCAACATGGTATCTGTTGTAGTTGTGGCTACCAGAACCATGCGAGATACTGTGGGCAGTTTTAATGATTCCAAGTGGAAAGGACACCCATACAAAGTCTTCAGTAGAAATGAGGCTCAGTCTTGATGAACAGAAAAGGCTTATTACATGGTTCTTAATAGCTAGTTGCATTACATCGGAGCTACAAGAGAATCCCTTGAGACACATCAGGCTAGACTGCAGAGTAAGTACACATTACTGTTGGCTAAAAAGAACTTATCATTAAGCTGGAACCAAACTAAAACCAGTTAACAAAAACAGAAATTGCTGGATAAACTTATTAGATCTGACAGCATCTGTGGAGAGAAAGCAGAGTTAATGTTTTGGATCCTATGACACTTCTTCAGAATGGCCTAGACCTGTTGAGTTTTTCCAGCAATTTGTTTTTGTTTCTGATTTCCAGCATCCCCAGTTCTTTGTTTTTTTTTGTTTAAAATCTAGGACCAGGTAATTTCTGCCAAAATGATTCACGATTTCGATTAAACCTTTCAGGCACCAATTGGTTTATACAGTAGTGTGAAGGGCTATTTGGACCAATCCTGGTCCCATTATTGTCTGCTTAAGTTGATACAAATGTTTGACAAGATAGAAGCTGTTTCCATTTGTGGGTGAGTCGACCATAATGGACATTAACATACTAAAATAAAACAAAAAAACCACGGATGCTGGGGATTTGAAGCAAAAACGGAAATACATGGATAAACTCAGCAGGTCGGGCAGAACTGACAAAGGGTCACCGGGATCGAAGCGTTAACTCTTCGCATGGCACAAACGGCACGGTGGCTCAATGGTTAGCACTGCTGCCTCACAGCGCCAGGAACCCGGGTTTGATTCCACCTCGGGCGACTGTCTGTGTGGAGTTTGCACGTTCTTCCTGTGTCTGCGTGGGTTTCGTCTGGGTGCTCTGGTTTCCTCCCACAGCCCAAAGATATGCAGGCCAGGTGGATTGGCCATGCTAAATTGCCCAGAGTGTTCAGGGATGTGTAGATTAGGTGGGTTATAGGGGGATGGGTTTGGTTGGGATGCTCTGACGGTCGGTGTGGACTTGTTGGGCCAAAGGGCCTGTTTCCACACTGTAGGGATTCTATGATTAACTCTGCTTTCTTCCCACGATGCAGCCAGGCCTGCTGAGTTTCTCCATGCAATTTCTGTTTCTGATTAATATAATGTGGTCACTTAGAAGTATCTTTACCCATTGAGCGGTTGAGCTCATGGTGACAGAAGTGGTTGAAGCAAAAAGCACTGATGCTGTTAAGGATAAGCCAGTTAAGTACTTGTGGGAAAAAGCAATGCCAATAGGGTTGGATGAAAAAACAGTGAGGGAGATGGTGGCACCTTGTCACTTCACTAGACTAGTAACCCAGATACCCAGGTTATTGTTCTGGGAAGAAGGCTCCAGAGTAGTTTTTAAACTCAATTAACAAATTCAGGAAATAATGGTCTCAATAACAGTAACCATGCTGACTGTCATTAATTGTTGTAAAAATCCATCTGGTTCACTAACACATTTTTAGGTAAGAAATTCTTCCAGCCTTATCTGGCCTGGCCTACATGTGGTTCCAAGCACCAATATTATTTATTTTTCTCAAAGGGTCCAGCAAACCAGGGCAATTAGGATCAGGCAACAAATGCTGGTCTTGCCAGCGGCCCCCCGAAGTCCCATGAAACCAACATGGTGGCTCAGTGGTTAGCACTGCTGCTTCACAGTACCAGGGACCCAGGTTCAATTCCACCCTTAGGCGACTATCTGTGTGGGTTTCCTCCCACAGACCAAAAGATGTGCAGGTTAGGGTGGATTGGCCATAGTGTTCAGGGATGCACAGACTAGGTGGGTTAGCCATGGGAAATGCAGGGATAGGGTGGGTCAGTATGGACTCAATGGACTGAATGACCTACTTCAACACTGTAGGGATTCTATGAAAGAATAAAGAAAAGCTCCTGTAGAAACCAAGCATAGGTTGAGCCCTATAAAAGCCGTTGCATGCATTTTTCTTAAGGGGTTGCACACAAAAAAAAACTGACTGCATGTTCTAAGCAAAAATGGGCGGAAATGCTGGTGGCAAGAGGCTCAACAGAAACATGGACTAGTCAGGCTGAATGGTCTGATTCTATGCTGTACGTTATTCTCTCTCATTTTGAATCATTAACCTTTGTTTTCGAAAGGTGAAATCAGCATACACCCAGGGCCATTTCCTCTGCTACTCCTGCAGCAAGGTCTTCCCACTACATCGCATGCTGACCCGCCATTTGAAATGCCACAGCACTGTGAAGAAGCACGTCTGCAGGTTCTGCGGAAAAGGCTTCAACGACACGTTCGATCTGAAGAGGCACATGCGAACACACACAGGTACGGCACTGGGGTGGTTGGCTACATCAGGCCTGGCAGAGTAAAGTCTGATCCCAAAAGATGGCACCAGCAGCAGAGACGTGCACCCTCAGTGTCGCATCAGGAGTGTCTGCTGAGGCTTCGCACGTGAACCCGAGCAGCCAAGTGCTACTTGAGCGCACAAGATCGGGACAGCACCGAGGGAGTGCTGCACTGTCAGAGGCGTAGCTTTTTGGGTGAGACCCAACCTGAAGTTCTATCTGTCCTCCCAGGGGATGTCGAAGATTTGGGACAATGGCAAAGCCATTTTCACAATATTTGAGCCAACATTTATCACTCAAATGAAACCTAATGTAGGTCAGCAGGTCATTCCTTCCAGTTATCTGCAGGAACCTGTGGGACTCAAACTAGTGCAGGTACTTTCTAATGTTCAAACAAATGGTGATTACACTTCAAAACTATTTCATTGGCTTTAAGATGCCTTTGAGGCATCTCGGGTTTTAGAGCCAGAGAGATGAGTCACAGAAACAGACCCTTCGGTCCAGCTTGTCCATGCCGACCAAACGTCCCAAACTGATCGATTCCCATTTGGCCCATATCCCTCTAAACCCTTCCTATTCATGTACCCATCCAGATGCCTTTTAAATGTTGTAATTGTACCAGCCTCCTCTACTTCCTCTGGCAGCTCGTTCCATACACGCACCACCCTCCGCGTGAGAAAGTTGCCCCTCAGGTCCCTTTTAAATCTTTCCCCTCTCACCTTAAACCTATGCCCTCTAGTTTTGGACTCCCCAGGGAAAAGACCTTGACTATTCACCCTATCCATGCCCCTCATGATTTTGTAAATCTCCATGAGGTCACCCTTCAGCCTCCGTCGCTCCAGGGAAAATAACCCCAGCCTATTCAGCCTCTCCCTATAGCTTAAACCCTCCAAACCAAGCCACATCCTCGTAAATCTTTTCTGCCTCCTTTCAAGTTTCACAACATCCTTCCTATAGCAGGGAGACCAGAGTTGAATAAAGTATTCCAAAAGTGGCCTCACCAATGTCCTGTACAGCTGCAACACAACATCCCAACTTCTAACTGAATTCACTGAACAATGAAGGCAAACATACCAAACGCTTTCTTCATCACCCATCCACCTGCGACTCTACTTTTGAGGAACTACGAACCTCGTTGCTGTATAGATGCAAGTTTTTTGTTGTGTCTGGTACTTCCTCACTGCAGGAGGGGACCTAACAAACTCGCCTTTGTTTGAAGCAGGCATTCGGCCCTACAAGTGTGACCTGTGCGAGAAGGCATTCACACAACGATGCTCCTTGGAATCTCATCTGAAGAAGATTCACAGCATACACCAGAACTATGCCTACCGGGAACGGCGTTCCAAGATTTTCGTATGTGAGGACTGCGGTTTTACATCTAATCGAGGGGACACGTACTTCCTGCACATCAGGGACCATCACCCAACCAGCCCTTTACTACGCAAGTATCTGTGCAAGCAAAACACATCACTTCAAAACAGATTAGACAGGCTACTCTTTCCACATTTTGTCTAGAAACTAGACAAGAAAGAAGCAGCCTCGAGATAGCAGCTACCATAAGCAGTGTCAAAGAATGCTTCCCCAAGAAATACTTCTAAAATGAATTGACAGTTGTAACACAGGCACCATGGAAGCCATATTGCTCAGGGCAAAATACCACAAACAGCAATGTGCTGACAAGATCATCTGCTTTTAGTTATGTTGACAGGGATAAATATTGGCTAGGACACCAGACATGAACTCCACTGCTGTTTGAAACTGTTTTTGGAATCAATTATGTGCACGTTTTTTGAAGAAAGGCTAAGTCCTAGTTATTTTTTCCTACTTTTTTTTTTTAATTTTTATATCCAGAAATGCTCTTACACACGTTAGTTTTTATCCCCTCCCCTCAATCACTCACGGTATTTTTTCATCTATTAACCAGCACCAGTACATCACCAATGGAGACTTCTTTCCACAGATGCTACCAGACCTGCTGAGTTTTTCCAGCAATTTATTTTTGCTTCTGATTTCCAGCATCGACAGTTCTTTCAGGTTTCAGTAAGTCACTGTGTTGGGTCGTGGGCTTAACATAGTGACAGGGCAGATGGGGGATAGTGGTGGTGGCCAGAGCACATTCTCACTAACAAGGTGATGACATAGTGGTAATAACACTAGACTAACAATGCAAAGACCCAGAGCACGGATTCAAAATCTCACCACAGCTGGTGGCCTGGAATTTAAAGGTAGTCTCAATAATGGTGACCATCATTGATTGCTGTAAAAGCTCATCTGGACCATCAATGCAGTCCTTTAGAAAAGGCTATCTTTCATTCTTAGCAAGTAGTAACATCACTGGACTAACATGTCAGAGGCCCAGGATAGCAGCTGGTGGAATTTAAACAAATAAATCTGTAAATAAAAGCAGGTCTCAGTCATACAGACGATAAAACTTATTGTTCAAAAATCCACCTTGTTCACTAATGTTCTTTAGACAAGGAAATCTGCAGTCCTTGTGTGGTCTGGCCAATTGTGATTCCAGATCCACTGTGAAGTGCTGAATCCTAATTACTCTCCAAAATGGCTGAGCACGACATTCAGTTCAATGACATCTAAGGGTGCGCAAAAAAAATTGGCCTTTCCACTGACACTTGAACCCAGAGGAAAGAAACGAGATTAGCTGCTCCATTGACTGAAATAAACTTGTGATTTGGAGGTGTCCACTGTGGTCCTAAATCACACAAGTTGGGAAGATTAGCTAGGAGGAGGTAGGGTCACTTGACCCGAAACGTAAATTCTCATTTCTGTCTACAAATGCTGCCAGACCCGCTGAACTTTCCCAGCAATTTTTATTTTAGCTAGGAGAGGTTGGACAAACTTGGATAGTTTTCACCAGAGCGTTGGAAACTGAGGGTTGGTCTGATGGAAGTATATAAAATTACAAGGGGCATGGATAGGGTGGACAGTCAGAGTCTTTAAACCCAGGGTGGAAATGTCTAATTCTAGGTAGCATAGGTTGAAGGTGAGAGGGGAAAGTTTTAAGGAAAATGTGCGAGGAAAGTAGTTTTTATACACAGAGGGTGGTAGGTGCCTAGAAAGTGCTGCCAGGGGAGGTGGTAGCAAAATTTAAGACCTATTTAGACAGACACATGAACAGGCAGGGATCAGAGGGTACAGACCATGTGCATGCAGATGGGATTAGTTTAGAATGGCATCATATTCAACACAGTCATCGTGGGCTGAAGGGCCTGATCCTGTGCTGCAAAGTGCTATGTTCTACATCCCATGGTTCAAATTTATGGACTGCACTTAAGTTGTGTCATCTTGGCAAGAACATAAGGATTAAGAGCATGGGTAGGCCATCTGCTCCCCAAAGCCTGTTCAGCCAATAAAATCATGGCAGATCTGATGCAGCCTTAACTCTGCTTTCCTGCCCATCTATCCCCTATAGACCATGTTTCGTTTGTCAATTAAAAATCCAACTCAGCCTTAAATATGTTCAATAATATATTCAGCCTCCATTGGTCACTACAGGAGAGAATTCCAACTAATGACCCTCTGAAATTCCTAATTATGAAAGAGCAGCTCTGATTTTGAAACTACGACCCCAGTTCTAGATTCATCAGTGAGGAGCAACATCTACTATGGCAATCCACCTCAGGATTTTATATTTCAATAAAGATGACTTCTTAAAATTCTACATGCCAGTGAGCATAGGTCCAAACTCTCCACCCCAGGAATTCACCTTGCGAATATTCTCTGAACTGCCTTGAAGTACAGACAGTCGCCAGGTTACAAATGAATTCCTTTCTTGGGTACATTTGTAAGTTTATTTGTGTGCAAGTCAGAACAAAATAGTCAATATAAAATAGCTGTTCATAGAGTCATGCAGCACAGAAAACGGACCCATCAACCCAACTCATCCATGCCAATCGCATTTACTAGACTGATCTAGTCCCATTTTTTGGCCCACATCTCTCTAAACCTTTCCTATCCATGTATTTGTCCAAATTTCTTTTAAATGATGTAACTGTACTTGCCTCTACGATTTTCTTTAGCAGTAAGTTTGAGCAAATGTTCTATACTTCTCCCTTAGCAAGGTGCCCAAAATTGTAGACAGTACTCGAAGGGGAGAGCCAGAGCCACAAAGTTCCCACCCGTGATTTTTCAGACTGTCTGCCGTTGACTTACAGCTGTATGCACTGAGGTCACTGTATCCAACAAGATTAATTAGGTAATCCACCATCAGTCACTGCTGTATAAGACTGCAACTGACCTGACTATTATCATCAGGTAATTACCATCCATTAACTTGATTTTGCAAGAGAAATCAGTCTGCTTGAATTGGGAAAAGGTGCTCTGGTCTTCACGAGCTCTGCTATAGCCCAAAAAGACTTTCTGAAAAAAACAAGTTTTTTTTCTGAAGGGTCCAGACCCAAAACATCAGCTTTCCTACTCCTCTGATGCTGCCTGGCCTGCTGTGTTCATCCAACCCCACACCTTGTTAAGTCACTCTGGACTTTTTACTATTTAAACAAATCCTGAACCCAAAAACATTAATTGAATACTGCAGATGACAGAAATCTCAAACATAACAGAAAATGCTGGAATATTCAGGTGTAGGAGCATCTGCAGAGAGAGAAACAGAGTTAAAATTTCAGGTCTGTGACTTCTTATCTAATTTTAAATGCTAACTATGCATCCCTCCACAGATACTGCTGCCACTAACCTGCTGACTATTTGCAATTTTTCAGTTTTAATTCGCAGCACAATAGTCAGCACCCTGGCTCATTAGCCAACTCAGTGGTGTCAATAAACAAGTTGTTTGTTTCCACACAGGGTAACTAGGGACGGGCAACAAATGCTGACCAGCCAGCAACACCCACATCCCACAAAAATGAATAAATTTTAAAAAAAGATGACTGGAGGCAGATGGGGCAGTAGTTGTTATCAAACAGACTTTATATTAAGAGGCGATAAATAATCTTAAATTGGGACAAGAGGAGGAAATATAAAAGAAGAGAAGGAAACGTTAACAGGATCAGAACTGTCCAGAGATCTGAGTTTGATGCCAGATTGACTGTGATAAAACAAAGTTGTATTTCCAAATGAGTTCAGGAGCAAGCACAGGAGAAAAGGATGTCTTGCGGCACATTTGGTAGTGTGCCTGTTTCTAGTTTAGAAGCTCCTGGTTAGAGTCCCACTCCACCCCGCAAAGGTTGGAATTGAACCCGGGTCCCCAGCACAGTTAGGCAGCAGTGCTAACCCTTGAGCCATCGTGCCGCTCACAAATCTCCCACAAGCATTTACATCCTGTTCTCTGGCCATCTAATATTCACAGCCTATACAAAACAGAACACATTCACCTGTCTCCCATCCCCTCCATATTGATCAACAAAGAAATCTTATGCTGGCATTGGGTGGACAAAACTGGGTAACCTTGTTCATCAGAAAAGAACAGCAACGTGTCAGTCAGGCTGCAGAGTGACATTAAAATTTACATTCGGTCCACGTTAATATAGTAGAATAAGACTGCTGTTGTATAAAGTACAGGAAAGGACACAGCAACAGCTTTCATTTTTATAGGGTCACTATGGAGTAAAATGGCCCAAGGCCCTTGACAGGAGGGCTTATCAAATACAAATGGTCTTCAAACTAAAGAGTAAAATAAAACAAATTACTGCAGAATCTGAAGATCTGAAACAAAAACAGAAACAGCTGGGGAAACTCAGCAAGTCTAGCAGCATGCGGAGAGAAAGCAGAGTTAATGTTTTGAGTCCAGGAACTTTCTACAAATGACTAAAGCATAAGATAGCAAGAAGTGAACAAAAGTCTCTTTAAAAGGTAGGCTTTAAGGAGCTTCTCAAAAGATGAAGAGACAAGTAGAAAGTAAATTTCAGAAAGGTTTTGCAGAGTTTAAACCTCCAGACAGTTGAAGACATGGCATCCAAAGAGCAGGGTGATGGAAGTGGGAAAAGCATGTGTCCTATAATTTTTTTAAGCTCCAGTGAGACACACATTTATACAAGAGCCGTTCCATAAAGAAAATCACAGTAGTTTACTGTGTCACTTAACACAACTAGATGAAGACAAAGAAAAACGTCAGTGTGTTTGGGACAACGGGATTAAAGTAGATAAACTTTGATGTACAGTCACTTCAGGCACCATGTGGTTTTTCTTGAATCCATGAAACAGGACGGATAGATACCACTTCAGTAAATGCAGATTCACAGAACATTATTCCAACTTTTTAAAAAAATTTACTATTGTATTTACAAAATGAGCAACCAGTACACTATGTCTTTAAAAAAATAAACATTACCACACAGTTGAGTTATCTGTCTCAGTTTTACATTGTCCATGAATTGACAACCTGACTGTTGAGAAAGGTCACAGGTGGTACAGTCTGACAACGACACAGCAAAATCTCACAGGGCAACACAGCGTCCTCACTCAGTCCAACGATGGCCGCAGTGTGGTGCTGTGCACACATAGTACAGCCTCATTGCATCCTGCAGTGGGGAGGAAAGGCAGCTACAATTAGATGCATGCTTCAAACTCAATCTTTTGTCAGTGACAATGAGTCACAAACACCATTTGGTTCATTTGCAGAAGCGGAGTCAAACTGGCATTCAGGTTTCCCTTCATTCTAACATGTTTCTGGCCCTTGTAAAACCACAAATGTTGTTAACGTTGTACATAAAACAAGGTCACAGTCCTGACCTAGACATTAACAGGCACGTAAACACAGCAGTTGAACTGTGTATAGTTTTGAGAGGAGTTTCCTGGATTTTACATTTTAAAACTGAAAAATACTTTTTACACACAAATCTTATGTACACATATTGCACTTAACATAAGATTTGCTACGTATCCACATATTAGTTTCTTACAAAGCAAGACCCTTGTTATTCTCAAAGATCTCACTTTCAAATAATTATGGTTCTCCACATAGTATGTAACCAATATACCATACTGTCAGACTCCCATAGCACTCTAACCAAGGGTCAAACTTAAAGCTTTTTCATCACCCAGACTACCTATTCATAGCCATGACTTAGAAAACAAAAGAAAACCCACACACACCCTGAGTAATTCATGCCTGTTCATTATCCTATTCTCCCTGGTTACACATTCAGACTCTCAAACTGTCGCAAAGGCGTTACAAAGCAGACAGCTACGTGCACATTTTGGGCTAGGCGGAGAAGGTTTAAGTAGCGGTCACAATGGCTGCTTGGGCTTGTAGGCGGCTCAATACTGGGCTTGGCAAGAGTGCTGAGAGAAATCACTCAACAAACAAAAAGTACGGTCAGTAAACAAAGCAGCATTGCATGCCAACACCTTCTTTCAAAGTTCAAACACCCTTCCCTTACTTCTTAAAAAGAGGATAAATTAAAGTTCAGTTTTCTTTACCAAAGAACAAATAGTGAAAAACAACTAATGTTTGCTCTGTGGCCTCTAACAGAGAACACATCTATCCATATCGCTGGTGATACTCAATGGCATTAAGTGGTTTGAATACATGCTTCTGACAACTACATGCATATCTCTAATAAGGTCCACGTCTGTACCTCAGCTCTTGCACTGTGCGACTGGAAAAACACAGCTTCTTTGTGTCCGCATCTGCAACGACATTTTAAAACAGCTGTAACAGGTTTCTGGAGAATTTGGATAGCCTGGTGAAACAAGCCAAGATACAGTCGACAAATTATCACAGAATCTCAGAACTGTTGCAGCGCAGGAGGAGGCCATTCAGCTCATACGTTTGCACGAGCAACTCACTTCATTCCTTTCCCACACTTCCTCGTGATCTGTAAATGCACGCTGTTCATGTTCAGATAACAGCCTTAGTTCCCTTTTGAGTGTTTCAAGTGAACTCAGACAGTGCATTTCAGGCCGTATCCACTCGCCGCTTGAACAAACTTTACCACGTCACATTTGCTTGTTTTGTTAAGTAGTTTAAATCTGTGGTCTCTTGTTCTCAATCCATTAATAAGGGAAAGCAGTTTCTCCATTTCTGATTTGTCTAGACCGTTCATCATTCTAGATACAGAATAGTTTGAAGGCATACATTTTTCTGGGAACAATGGGGCAAAGCAACATAAACTAAATAATTTAATTTCAAAGTGAGTGCAGGAATAGAGACTTATGTCTGCAAATCTTTGATGGCGGCTGGAGATATTCATAAGTCCATTAAAAGAAAAACTTGGGATCCTTGGATTTAACAGATACACAGCACAAATTAACGCAAACATTTCAAAATTCACATTAGCCCTCAGCTGGACTACTGCTTCCAATGCTCACAACACATTGTAAGGGAGGGGAGACAGGTGATTTACTAGATGGTGACTGATGAAGGACTCAGTTGTATGGAATGGAGAAGCAGGAAGGTATTCTCATTACAGTCTGAGGAGCTAAGAGCAGATTTGATAGAGATTTTCAAAGGGTTCCGATAGGCGAAAGAGAAACTGTTTCCAGAAGGGTCAGTAAACAGAAGCCACAGTAATCGTCAAAACAATTCTAGACAAGCTATGATCAGGAGTGCACTGCATGAACTGGAAGCAGAGTCAAGCCTAATTGTTAAGAATTAACTGGATAATTTAAGGGGGAGAAACAGCTATGGGGAAAAATCTGGGGTTAGGGAAAGGGACATGGAGGTCAATTGGACAGCTCCAAGAAAGTGCTGGCACAGGCACAATGAGCGAAATGGCCTCCTTCTGTGCTGTATTAGATTATTACTTATCTGTCTCAAAATTACTCCTAAAGTCCTTTGTCCTCCAGTGATTGTTCACAAGACCCCACCCTCCTTGCTTTCCATCAATTTGATTGGTTTATGAAAATCAAATGTCCTCCCCTCCCATGAATGAGAGGTGTGTGTGTTTCAATTGTTTTAAATGGCAATGGAAGTCAGTGTTCTGCTTCACAAGTATCCCAAACCCTCCATGGCTCACTGGCCTCAGGCTATCAGTCTCTGCTCCCAGCTCTAGCTCTCCAAAGCAAATGCCTCGGGCTTTTTCTCCCTGCAATGCATCAGCTGTTGCTGCACGCCCAGGCCGCAGGCTGACATGCCAGTTTCTGGGGATGCCGCTGCTCCAGGACTCAGGATAACACCCAAGTTGCTCTGGTTGGAACTTACATTTCTCGGGGAAAAAGAAATAAAGCACCCACAACAATTATCATGAGAGTGAATGACTCCTTATTGAGGGCGCTAACATTTGCCCATGGAAAGAGGGTGGAGATCAGGAGTAGGTAGATAATGTGCATTAAGCAATCATTGTCATTGAGATGATTATGAGATTTAAAGACCGACTCTACATGGAGGAGGGCAGTGAGATGTTGCAGCATCAGATATCAAGTCTAGGCAGTAGATGGCTAGGATGCAGTGTTGTGATTGGGGATTAGATATTATTATCTTTTAACAGGCTCCAACAGAACAGTTAGATCTTAGTTAAGTTAAATTGGAGGAAGGTCTGGATGATTCACAAAGTTAGACAAACAACCTGAATCAGAGGGATACAGACAGGGCTAATGGTAGGTGTCTTTTCCCTAGGATTGGGGATTTCAAGACTAGGGGACATGTTTTTAATGTGAGAGGAGAGAAATTTTTAAAAGACACGAGGGGCAAAGTTTTTACTCAGAGGGTGGTTCACATGTGGAATGAACTTCTTGAGGAAGCGGTGGATATGGGCACAGTTACAACGTTTAAAAAACACTTAGATAAATTCATAAATTGGAAAGGTTTGGAGGGGTATGGGCCAGGAGCAGGCAGGTGGGATTAATTTAGTTTGGGATTATGGTCAGCATGGACTGGTTGGACCAAAAGGTCTATTTCTGTGCTGTATGACTCTATGATTGCTGTGTTATCAGTGGCCAAACACCTGACATTTTCATAAGGTAGGCCTTATTCTCTCTTACCACACCAAAAAGGAATTCCTACTCCAGATCTACAACAGAAAGGAAAGTATGATCGAATCCATGAACTTCAACACAGTTGGTAAAGGTTCCCAATGATCAACAAATGAGAATGGATGTACATTACACAGCATAGTGCAGCCAATAGTTACACACACCCTCTTTCTCCTCGATACCTCAAGACTGGATTTACAAGAGATTTAGGGTATGAGAGAACAACGTTTGCAAAATAAACGTAGAAGTCACATGACGTGAGGTTATCGTCCAACAGGTTTATTTAAAATCACCAGCTTTTGGAGCCCCGCTCCTTCATCAGGTCAAGCAGAGGGAGGTGCCTCCCTTTACTTCACCTGACAAAGCAGCAGCTCTTTGAAAGCCTGTGATTTTAAATAAACCTGTTGGACTATAACCTGGTGTCGTGTGACTTCTGACTTTGTCCACCCCAGTCCAACACCAGCCCCTCCACATCTTTGTGAAATAACGCAAGGCTGCAGTGCTACTTGCTTTGGGCAGGGATGGTCTTCTGTTCTGGGCAGTGTGGGATCCTGTGCCACATCGGCTATGATTTGAGTCAATTCACTGTGAAAGAAGAACAAAAATACCATTTTGAAAACAATGTACTTACTCTGGAGAAAAAAGTGCAATTAACTACCGGTATAAAAAGATCAGGACCAGATATTCGACATATCGGAATACAAAAAGAAATTCAACTTGAAGACTACTGGACCAATGGTAATGAATGTCACAACGTTTGCTGTTTGTTACTCCACTTAAGCTGACTGCAACTTCTGGAGTCTGTACATGAGCAGAAAACAGGGAATTCAGAAACTGCTGTCAGTAATTCAACATTCCTTCCAAACACCCCAATGACCCTGAAAAGCTAAGTTTGTCTGTGGATGTCAAACTACTTGACTAGGAAAACATCTTCATTATTAATCTTTCATCTTAATCCAATCATTTATTTTACTGTCTGAACTGTTTATATTTTAAGTGAAGGAACTCAAGGGCTTTAAAACTCCTTCACTGTCTGTGGGAATACTTCAATGTGATTGGCTACTCTCAGCACTGCTGCTAGATGTCTATAATTGGCCTTGACTTGGTGCCAGATTTAAACAGCTGGTGGGATTGGGAGAAACCACACCATAGAGAGATTGCTGGATCTGCTTGGGGAACTTTCTTCTAACCTTGCAAGTGCCACTGCTTCACTGCAGACATCAAAATCCAGACCTATATCTTATAGATCACAGAGAACCTTTTATGAAAAACAACCAGAGTTACACTATTTTACTAAATGGGTCTTTGCAAAATCACCTAGCGAGTAGACTGTTTCACTTGTTAAAAGCGTATAACTTTTGCCTGGATGATCAATATATTTTTGGGGATAAAATATTAAATGGAGTATCCTTGTATGATCATTAAATGGTTTTTCAGGAACAGCATCTCTTAAAGTGAGGTTTCCAGGTAGCCGTATCTTAGCAATCCTCCAGTACATCACCAAAAGTAGCAGATCTGTGTGTATAAGGTGTTGATGCATCAAGATGATGACGCAGTGGTACCTGTTCTATCCCGACCTGATACACACAAAATTTAACAAACCACACCTCGAGTACTGCCTAGTTTTGGTCTCCATATCCAAGGAAGGATACACCTCCCTTAAGATGCAATACAATTAAGATACAAGATTGATTCCTGGGAATGAGGAGGTGGGTCTGGCTGGAAGTTTGGACCTAAGAGCTTCATCTCAGCATAAGAGCTGGCCATTTGTGACTTGGATGGGGAAAGATTTCTTCACAGAAGTTGTGAATCTTTGGAATTCTCTTCTCCAAGGAACTGTGGATGCTCAATCCATAAGTAAGTTCAAGACTGAGACCAGCAAACATTTAAACACTGGTCATTAGACACAAGCCACACAAAGATCAAAATCAGCTAAAATTTTATTGAATGGTGTGGTGAGCTCGAGAATCTGTACCACATTCCCCTGTTTCTACTCTTATGGTTGCACACCTTCCAGCTGAGATCATGGGGCAGCAATCAGATCAACTAGAGATCAATGTTCTCTAATCCACAGCACAAGGTCAAGACCCTAGGTATGACCCGAGTGCAATAAGGTAACTCAGCAAAGATCTGTCTGCATGGCTCAGGACCACAGAAAGCATTAAACCACAATGTTCAAGGGAGCCACATGAAACAGGATGGACTACACTCCCAATAATTCCAGTTTCTCCGGTGCCTCCACTGGTCATGCAAGTCCTGAACTTGGCTAGTTTCTCTGTGGTAAACTTACAATTTACTCTCAGTCTCATTTACAAGGTACTGCTTAAAGCTGCACGCAGCACACCCATGTTACTTACTCCACTTCATGTGTGATTTTGTTGACATAGATACAGCTGTTATCAGCTTCTTGTTGGTAGTCACAGTTTCGACACTGAAATTTAAACATAACAGCATTTAAGTTACAGAGTCTAGTCACACAGATCCTGAAAAAAGCTGTAGTTCTTCATATGGACTTGAAATGTTAACTCTGATTCTCTCTCCAGACATGCTGCCACAGCAGAAATTTTCCAGTATTCTCGGTGCTTGTCCTGAAATATTAGCTCAGTGACTCCCCACAGATGCTGCCAGATCTCCGAAATATTTCAAGCAATTTCTATTTTTAATACAGGCCCTGATTAGAGGAGAACAAGTGTGTAGATGAAGGAGAAACAGAAGCAGTTACAGTTTTACTGTATGCGGGAGGAAACGCACAAGGTGTCTGTAGGCTTAGCAACAAGATCTGGAGTAGTTTATACTTTCAGTTTCCTACTCCTAGGTTTTTAATCCTCTCCCATGGGTTCAGTGGCAATCATCGCTGAATCAAACTTGAGACACCAGAAAGTGGATCCACCAGATCTCATGATAGATCAGCCACAATCTAGTCACAATGAGAGGCAATGGCCTAGTGGTCATGTGACTGGACTATTAACCCAGAGACCCAGATAGTGTCCTAGGGACCTGGGTTCGAATCCTACCATGGGCAGATGGTGGAATTTGAATTCAATAAAATATCTGGAATGAAGAATCTAATGATGACCATGAATCTATTGTCGATTGTTGGAAAAACCCACCTGGTTCACTAAAGCCCTTTAGGGAAGGAAACTGCCATCTTTACCTGGTCGGGGCCTACATGTGACTCCAGACCCACAGCAATGTGGTTGACTCTTAACTGCCCTCTTGGCAATTAGGGATGGGAAATAAATGCTGCCTGGCCAGCAACGCCCTCATCCCTTGAATGAATAAAGGAAAAAAAACAATTTGCCAGCAACTTTTAATTCAATCAAAGTGATCCACAGCTCAATAGCCACCATTTCATTCTCGGACTTTGCAAACCTACAATTTAATCTGACAACCCTAGACCAATGGAGGAGGCCTTCGCTCCATTTTCAGTCAGTAATCTAAAACATCTGGTGGTATAATCGCTGGACCATTAATCCAGAGACCCAGGTAATGCTCTTGGCACCCAGGCTCAAATCCTGCCACGGCAGATGGTGGAATTTGAATTCAATAAAAATCTGAAATTAAGAGTCTAATGGTGACCCTGAAACTATTGTTGATTGTCAGGAAAAACCCAACTGATTCACTAATGCCCTTTAGGGAAGGAGACTGCCATTTGTACCTGGGCTGGTCTACATGCAACCAGACCCACAGCAATGTGGTTGACTCTTAACTGCCCTCTGGGCAATTATGGATGGGCAATAAATGCTGGCCTAGCCAGCGATGCCCTCATCCCATGAATCAATTTTTAAAAATCCTTTGCAACTCGAAGGTTTACATGCTTTTTTGTCCATGTCATACAGTCTAGCATTTCACCAACAGTCACCTTGGAGTTGTGCAACACCGCAGATTGCACTTTGTATGTTCAGCAGTCAAGGGATTTAATCAGACTGTCTCCATCCAACATCAGCTATAAAATCCTTCAGCATTTTTCATTTTTTGCTTACAAACACATTTCTCTGGTGTTCAGACAAGTTCTCAATTTAAATGACAAGCTCTGCTGCTTTTGCATAAACCCACGAACAGACTAGAGCTCCTTTCTTCTAATTCTCTAACAGCCTCACTGTTAAAAAAAACTTGCTCACTGCATCACAATTACACTTTGTAAACTTCAG